GATCCTGGCTGTGAAACCTGCCATTGCCTGAGTGTGAGCTCGCCTTGTCTGCGGGACTAATTGGGGGTCGTAGGGGCTGTTTGAGGGTGCTTAACGATGGGTTTTTAGATGTGGATCGTCGTGTTTTCCGCTAATCAGCCCGTCCAATATGAGACTTGATGCGAAGAAACTCATTCCTCTCTATTCCGACGACTGCCAAGTTCGGATCTCGCCGGACTTCGAGGTTTGACTTGAATCTAACCGACCATTTCCAACGGCGTGGCCTTCCGCATGTGTTGTGGTCGCCAGAGACCTTTGGGTGCGCAAAAGTGCCAGCCTGTCGAATTGCCTCGTTGGGGTTTAAGGGGGTTCCCGACGGCGATGTCGTCATCGGCATGCGCGCAATCTGGTCGCCGACATTCCCGTGTATCCGCGCGCATTGCGGTTCGCGCTATCATATGTCGACGTTGGCAGCGAGCGAGTCGGACCTCACCTTGTCGACTGGACGAATCGTGGTTAGATAAGGTTGCAGGAAGGTCCACCAGCCATGGTCCTTTTTTTTTTTGTGGTTACAGTCATTGTCATCACGCACGAGCTGGCTTTGTCGATGGGGTGAATCGCCGCACGAGCTCGCTTTGTCGATGGGAGAATCGGCGTCTATGGGGGTGTATTGGGGGCCGCGCTGCGCCGATTTCTGACGTGGTGCACCTACGACTACCATTTGTGTTCTGCATGCTGTCGTCGAACAGGCACTTGCGAGTAGCAGTAGGGCCTCCCTGACCATGCAGCCACACATAGCGTTCCTTCTGTGCACTTCTAGACCCATCCTCCAAATATCCGACATCCCCCGCACAAACCGGTTCCCCGCCAGTCCAGCAACCGCCAAGTTCGGATCCCGGCGGACTTTAAGGTCCCGCATAAATTTAACCGCCCTTTTTGACGGCCTCGACTATCGAGTGTGTTCTGATTATCAGAGGCCTCTGGGTGCGCAAAAGTGCTCGCACTATGCAGACCTCGGCGTTCGTCGCAATCCGGACTTGCAAGCGGCCGTATTCCCGCGCTGGTTCGAACAAATTTCATGGCACAAAAATCCACAGTGTGGGCACAGATCATCGGGGTTTGTGGGGGTCGGTTGCGGGCGGCGATGAACCGCTCCGAAATGCGGTGCGCCCAAGCATTGCCTTTTTGTTTTCAAACAAATGCCAACCACCCGTTCCAATACCTACAGTCGCGCGAAAACCTGTTACTCGCTGCAGGCGAATCCCCCAAGTTCGGATCCTGGCGGGCTTTGAGGATCTGCGCAAATCTAACCGTCCTTCGCATGATGCTTGGAGCTTCGAGTGCGAGTTGATTGCAAGAGGACTGTGGGTGCGAAAAATTGCTCGCCTTCTGAAATGCCCTTGAAGGGGTTTATGGGGGTTGCCGACGGTGACAACGGCCGTGTTCGTTATCGGTGTGTCGTCGATCTTTGTTGCCCCCCAGGGGTTTTGACCGTCGTGGTGCGCGGAGTCTTGTCGCAGACATGCGCGTGTTTTTGCGTGCTGTTCGGTTCGCGCTGTCGCACGTCGATGTTCCCGGCGGGCGAATCGGGGGTCACCTTGTCGACTGGCCCAATCACGGTTTGGAAGGGTTGCAGGGGGGATCTTTCATCAATTTCTACATTATTCTTCTCTGCGCAATGGAGATGTCCGAGTTCAACAAGCTCTTGTAGTGGTGCCTCTGAATGGAACACCGCACGAGCTCGCTTAGACGATGGTGAGAATCGGTGCTTATAGGGGTCTGTTTGGGGTCGCGCTGCGCCGAATTGTGTGGTGGTGCATCCACCATTACCCTTTGTTCTGAGCGTGCTATCGCACGACGAAAACTTGAGAGCGGCAAAGCCTTCCTTCTGTGTGCCCAAACATAGCTTTCCTTGTGTGCACCCGCTGGCGCTCCCTTCCACTGGCACCGGCCGCGCGAAAACAAGTTCCTTTCTGCTCCCGCACCCGCCAAATTTGGATCCCGGCGATTTTTTAGGCTCCGCGTAAATCTAACCGTTATTTTCAACAGCTTGGACTTCCCCGTCCGTCTTCAATGCTGGCGGCCTGGTAGTGCGCAAAAGTGCGCGATGGTGAGAATCGATGTTTATAGGGGTCAGCTTGGGGTCGCGCTGCGCCGAATTCTGTGGTGGTGCATCCACCATTACCTTTTGTTCTAAGCGTGCTATCGCACGACGAAAACTTGAGAGCGGCAAAGCCTTCCTTCCGTGCGCCCAAACATAGCTTTCCTTGTGTGCACCCGCTAGCGCTCCCTTCCACTGGCACCGGCCGCACAAAAACAGGTTCCTTGTTGCTCCCGCACTCGCCAAATTCGGATCCCGACGAACGTTGAGGCTCCGCGTAAATCTGACCGTTATTTTCGAAGGCTTGGACTTCCCCGTCTGTCTTCAATGTCGGCAGCCTGGTAGTGCGCAAAAGTGCTCGATNAGGCTCCGCGTAAATCTGACCGTTATTTTCGAAGGCTTGGACTTCCCCGTCTGTCTTCAATGTCGGCAGCCTGGTAGTGCGCAAAAGTGCTCGATGGTGAGAATCGGTGTTTATAGGGGTCAGTTTGGGGTCGCGCTGCGCCGAATTGTGTGGTGGTGCATCCACCATTACCCTTTGTTTTGCGCGTGCTATCGCACGACGAAAACATGAGAGCGGCAGAGCCTTCCTTCTGTGCGCCCAAACATAGCTTTCCTTGTGTGCACCCGCTGGCGCTCAATTCCACTGGCACCGGCCGCGCGAAAACAGGTTCGCTGCTGCTCCCGCACCCGCCAAATTCGGATCCCGGCGAACTTTCAGGCTCCGCGTAAATCTGACCGTTATTTTCNGGCCGCGCGAAAACAGGTTCGCTGCTGCTCCCGCACCCGCCAAATTCGGATCCCGGCGAACTTTCAGGCTCCGCGTAAATCTGACCGTTATTTTCAACAACTTGGACTTCCTGATCCGTCTTCAATGGCGGCGGTCTGGTAGTGCGCAAAAGTGCTTGCCTTCAGAATTTTCCTAAAAGGGGTTTATTGGGGTTGACGACCGTGTAAGTGGCCCTTACTTCCTTAGTAATCGTGCTTATAGTTTGCTCCGCTGTTTTGTAAAGTGTGAACACGAATTCGAATGACCCGTTCAATCCGCACAAGAGAGAGTAATCGATTACGTTGACGGGAATCGCATCCGCTGCACCGATGGTTACATGACGGTGCCAAAGACGGCTCGGCGAACGACCGTATGAACTGGGCTATGGAAACTGAACAAGCCGTCGATTTGCATTACCAGCTACAACACCTGGAATTGGCCCCGACGACCTCTTCGGACAGTTCGCCGTTCCAATAGTCCGCTGCAACTTTCCCAAAAAACCGAGTCTCGCTTTTCGTTAGAGCTTTGGAGGTTGCATCCAACTGCCTACAGAATTGGCAACAACGTCTAAGTGCGAAGAACCGTCTACCTCCCGGATCGAGTTCCACATTCCTGGTGAGGTGCATCCCACAGCTTCGGCGCACAGCAGTTGCGTCCCAATGGGTGTTTCTTACGCATCATCTGATGACGAGAGTGAGCGGTTGGTGGCCACTGATTACTCGTCTGGACAACTGTCCTCTTCCAGTGGACCTTTGCTTCGCGCTAGCTCCTGTAGTACGAAGTTGGTTGCCACCGACGATTCTTCGGAGAAACTTTCCACAGCACGGGCGAGTCCAACGCAAGTGCAAAGTGATGATGCGATTCCAATTGAGAGTCAGTCTGGGTCGGAAGCGTCTGGCAGGGGTGATGCAGAGAGAAGAGCGATACTGCAGATTCTGCCCGCACCTCTGCCAGGCGAAAGACGAAGGTATAGCATGGCTAATAGGAACAGTAGGAGGAAATAACAATACAAAAAAACGAGAAACATGCTGCAAGGCTCGATGTTGTAAGGTTCGATGTTGTTCATGGTGCAAGGCTCGAAACAGTAGGAGGAAAGAACAGTACAAAAGACTGTTCATGGTGCGCGGCATGACATGTTGCAAAGCTCGATGTTGTTACAACGTGTCGCCTTAGGAAGTGCGAAAGGTTAGACAAGGACTGTACAGTAAGAGTCCGGGAGAGCGAGCTGAGTGGTGGATGAAAAGTATTAAGGATTTCACAGTAAATAAGGGTGGACAGAAATGTGTCTGCCCTATGGAGTTGGAACGTTCGATGTGCGTCAAGGCATACTGCAATGTACTCGGTGTCTCGCGTAATACATTTTACAGCTACAAAAAGCGTTTCGACAATGGCTCCGTGCGTTCCGAGCATGATCTGACGGGAAGATATCGGCCAACCAATAAAACGGTCGCCATGCTTGCCAGCATGAGAACGTTCATCGAGTGTCATGCGGATAGCATGCCGAATGAGGTGGCTAACCTAGGTGGGGTTTCCAGACCGAAGCTTCGACTCCCGGCTGCTTTCACGAAGAGATCAATTTATGAGTCCATCAAATCAGACTTTCTGGCCGCTGGCCTCGATGTTGTGTCTGAGTCCAACTTTTATAAACTGTGGCGGAAACACTTTTTCCACGTTTCCCTCTCGCAATCTAACACGTTCACGAAGTGCGCCGTCTATCATGAACTGAAGGAACGTATACAATATGCTGCTCTTCCTCGAGATCGAGAACAAGCTCGAGAGGATATGAAAGCACACCAAAGGAGGCGAGTTGAACACAGATTGGACTACAGTCGAGCGAAAACTGATTCCATGGTTCGTCCGAACGAGCGATTGTGTCTCATCATTGACGACATGGATCAGAAGAAAATAACTATCCCCCATATTGGTCAAGCGAACTACTCGAAAGCACTTGGCACGAGATGATGATGAAGACTAATCTGACAACCGTCATTCCACACGGTAGAGACCCTAGTATATATGTATACACCTGGTTTCCGTATTTCAAACACGATTCGAACACAGTCGCTACTTGTGTTATGAGAACCCTTGTCGAAATTCAAGGGAGCGGGACGCCACTGCCACGGTTTTTGCGCATTCAAGCAGATAATTGTTGGCGGGGAAACAAGAACAAGTACATATGTGCGATGGCTGCACTATTGGTTAAGTTCGAAGTTTTCGAAGAGGTAGAAATAGGTTTCATGCTGGTGGGACACACCCATACAGACGTTGACGCTACTGTCAACGTTTTCTCGAAGAAATTGAAAGACGTAAACGCTTATACTATGGATGAGTTCTTCGAGCTCATAGAGCAATCCCACAAAAAGCCTCCCAAATGTATTTTCCTCGATACGATGGAAGATTGGATTAGTATAGTGGACTCGTGCGTTGCGTCAGACATTACCGGTATTTCGAAACCACAGTTGCTTAAATTTTTGATGGTTGGAGATAATCCGGGCATGTTGTACAAGGAGTTTTGCGATGATGACAACTGGTTGCCCGAGGAAGGTCCGATTTTTTGGTTCAATCAAAMCCCCGATGAAAGCTATGCAGGTCCTTCATGGTCGTTTAACCCGCCTCATGTGCGACCCCTTCCTCGAAATGACTATTTGAATGGCAAAAATGGTGTTGTTCGATTCTGCGAGTTGCAGGAGAGTAGGCGGTCGACGTGGTGCACTTACAAT